CACATATTTGGGATTAATAAACATAAAATCTGAATGTGAAAACTAACCAGACTTTATTTTTTACTTTTAAGACTTTTTTATTCTTTATTCTAAAGACTAAATCAACTATATTCTGATAAAGTTATTAAATATATATTTTGTGTCCCTCATTTGTGGTGCCCCTTAGATGAATCGGGCCCTTAGCATTTGCCTATACTGCCTTCCTTCATTGTATGACAGCATATTGGGCCACAAGATCTTTGTTAGTTACAAGAAAAAATGTCATAATATTATGAGAAAAAAGTCATTATCTACATTACATGTCCATTTTAAATTGCTGAGTTTTTTTTCCTCGTCATTTTCCACACACCTGCTGTGGACAGCCATGCGTATATTTATGAAGTAGTCTGCGATGACCTCTGGGTCTCTGTTAGTGTAATATGCTTCCAGCCACAATATGTGACGACTACAGGGGTTAGACGATGGAACTGAAACACCTGTCATTTTAGTGTGGGAGGTTTCATGGCTAAATAAATCTGTCAACGCAGCCATACGGCTTCAGTTTATCACAGTCGTTATAGCACAATTGTTTCAAAGTCCTGCTACTGATAATTTGACGCTATATTGAGCTGAAAGATTATTTATTTTAACCAAATACTAAAAAAACGTCACAATGCTCAACATTCCTCATTTTAACGCAGTGCATGTAAGAATGCTTTTTTGTGTAGAAGTTCTAGTAATATCATGACTTTTTCTTGTAATAAAATCTTGTTGTATGGCCCTAATACTTCATCAAATCCAGTCCATGTAAACTTTTTTTATTAACTACAACCAAAGCTGGAAGCACTAGCTTTTAAGATTGTTTGTATGTAAACAGGGCCTAAAATCTATTAATATGCTGGGTCACACAATGAATTTACAACAGAGTTGTAAAGTAACAAAGTACAAATACTTCGTTACTGTACTTATCAAGTAGAATTTTTGGATATCTGTACTTTACTTGAGTAATTATTTTTCAGCATACTGTTTTACTTCTACTTCTTACATTTTCACACAATTATCTGTACTTTCTACTCCTTACATTTTTAAAAAAAGGCAAGAAGTAGAAAGTTGTTACTTTTATTTCATTTTTGCTTGTTTTAATTCTAGCTTGTTATTGTAAAAAATAAATACTATTCATATAAATTGTGCTTCCTAGATAGAGTGAACTTAATTGTGGTTGAATGAAAAGTATAAATACATAAAATTCTGTTACCGTTTTAGTTTGTACACAAACAAATCATGTCACACTCTAGCAGGACATAATCATTAAAATAAATAGACTGTACTTAAGAAGTATTTGTATTTCATGATTATATTATTACATTTGACTGCAGCTCTCAGATTTTCATTTTGGGGAAAAGCTTTGGGCAGCCTTGATATACAGCGGGCAAAATAAGTATTGAGCACGTCAACATTTTTCTCAGTAAATATATTACTAGAGGTGCTAATGATATGAAATTTTCACCAGATGTTGGTAACAACCCAAGTGATCCATACATACA